TGTATACTATAGATGATTTAATTGACAAGCTGACTACTTTAGGGTGAAGATGATAAAGTAAACTAAATGACTGCTAAATGAATAAATAATAAACTCAAACTGTTTGTTCTGGTACAATCCTGCTTATAAAGTGGCTCCCACAATTTAGTTTAGTTTTTGTAAAAAGAGGAAAGAACAACCCAGAACAAAACACTGTACATTATTTTTAGAAACATAGAATGTGACAGTAGATAAGAACCATTCAGCCCATCTAGTCTGCCCAATTTTCTAAATACGTTCATTAGTCCCTGGCATTATCTTATAGCTAGGATAGCCTTATGCCTATCCCACGCATGCTTAAACACCTTTACTGTGTTAACCTCTTCCACTTCAGCTGGAAGGCTATTCCATGCATCCACCACCCTATCAGTAAAGTAATACTTCCTGATATTATTTTTAAACCTTTGCCCTTCTAATTTAAGACTTTAGATTAAACCTTTGCCCTTCTAACATTAAGATTTAATGTCCTTTGTTGCGGTAGTTTTTCTTCTTTTAAATATAGTCTCCTCCTTTACTGTGTTGATTCCCTTTATGTATTGAAATGTTTCTATCATATTCCCCTGTCTCATCTTTCCTCCAAGCTATACATGTTAGGTTCCTTTATCCTTTCCTTGTAAGTTTTATCCTGCAATCCATGAACCAGTTTAGTAGCCTTCTCTGAACTCTCTCTAAAGTATCAATATCCTTCTAGAGATGCGGTCTCCAGTACTGCATACAATACTCCAAGCCATTGTACAGAACATCAGTGTTCTGTATAATGGCATGAGCACTTCCCTCTTTCTACTGCTAATACATCTACCTATACAACCAATTATTCTCTTAGCATTTCCTGCTGCTCTATTGCATTGTCTGCCTACCTTTACGTCATCAGAAATAATTACCCCTAAATCCCTTTTCTCAGATGTTGAGGTTAGGACTCTATCAAATATTCTGTACTCTGCCCTTGGGTTTTTATGTCCAAAATGCACTTACCCACATTAAATGTCAGCTGCCACAACTCTGACCATTTTTCTAGTTTACCTAAATAATTTGCCATTTGGCTTATCCCTCCTGGGACATCAACCCTGTTACATATCTTAGTATCATCAGCAAAAAGACATACCTTACCATCAAGACCTTCTGCAATATCACTAATAAAAATATTAAAGAGAATAAGTCCAAGTACAAATCCCCGAGTACTCCACTGGTGACAAGACCATGCTTCGAATATATACTACATTGACTACAACCCTCTGTTGCCTGTCACTCAACCACTGCCTTACCCATTCAACAATATTGGAATCCAAACTTAAAGATGGCAGTTTATTGATAAGCCTTCTATGTGCAACAGTGTCAAAAGCCTTACTGAAATCCAAGTTAGCAATGTCTACTGCACCACCCTGATCTATTATTTTAGTTACCCAGTCAAAAAAATCAATACGATTAGTTTGGCATGATCTCCCTGAAGTAAACCCATGTTGTCTCTTATCTTGAAATCCATGTGATTTTAGATGGTCAACAATCCTAACCTTTAACATGGTTTCCATTACTTTCTCCACTACTGAAGTAAGGTTCACTGGCCTAGTTGCCCAACTCCTCCCTACTACCTTTCTTGTGAATGGGCACAACATTCGCTAACTTCCAATCTTCTGGGGCTATTCCTATTAACAATGATTGGTTAAATAAATCTGTTAATGGTTTTGCTAGTACACCACTAGGCTCTTTTAATAACTTTGGGTGCATTCCATCAGGTCCCATTGACTTATTTGTCTTTACTTTTGACAGTTGAAATAGAACCTCTTCCTCTGTAAACTCACATGTAACAAATTACTCATTTGTCCTTTTTTCTAACAGGCCCCTTTCCATCATTTTCATCTGTAAATACTGAACTAAAATATTCATTGAGGCAATCAGCTAGACCTTTATCCTCTTCTACATACCTTCCTTCTTTTGTTTTTAATCTAACTAATCCTTGTTTTACTTTCCTTTTCTCATTTTTGTATCTAAAAAATGTTTTGTCCCTTTTTTTTTACTGACCATGCTATTTTCTCTTCTGTGTGTGATTTGGAAGCTCTTATAACTTGCTTTGGCTCTTTCTGTCTAATCTTATAGATATGTTTATCTTCTGTTTTTTTTTTTTTATATAATTACTAAATGCTAACTTTTTTGTTTTTTACTATTTTGGCCACATCTGCGTAGTACCACAGTGGTTTCTTTAAATTTTTTGCTTTTACTGACATGCCTAATGCAATTTTCTGTTGCCTTTAGCAGAGCAACATTTAAATATTCTAATTTCTCTTGGACTCCATTTAAATTGATCCAGTCTGATAATGACTCCTTTACACATAGTATAATTTTAGAAAAGTCTGTTTTTTAAATTATAAAACATTTGGTTTTGTGTGGTGGGACTCAGTCAATGTTCTTATATTAAACCACACTGACTGATGATCACTGGATCCTAAACTTTCAACTACAGTAATATTTAGGCCTTCAAGGGGTGTTTTAGGTACATAAGTCAACATATATACCTTCCTTTGTTTTGTAAATACAGTAAAATAAATTCTTGAAATTGATAGTGGGCTAATTCATTTCTATTTTTAAGTATGTGTACACATAAACAATGCCATTGAGTTAAAGGAACACTATAGGGTCAGGAACACAAATGTATTCCTGACCCTATAGTGCAAAAACAACCAGCTTGCCCCTTTGCCCCCATAAGTATAGTGAACATATGACTTTTATTGCAGTCTTCCGCTGCTGGCTCTGCACCTGATTTGCCTGCTTGGCTGATATCATCATAACTAATTCTCTCAGCCAATCACAATGCTTTCACATTGGATTGGCTGAGCTTGTCAAAGAGACAGATCAGGGACAGAGCCAGCACAAGTCAAATACAGTCCTGGCCAATCAGCATCTTCTCATAGAGATGAATTGAATCAATGAATCTCTATGAGGAAAGTTCAGTGTCTGCATGCAGAGGGTGGAGATACTGACTGTCAGTGCTGCACACTGCAGCACTGGCCCAGGAAGCACCTCTAGTAAGCCATCTGAGGACTGGCCATGGAGGTATCCCTCGGCTGTAATGTAAACACTGCCTTTTCTCTGGAAATACAGTGTTTACTGCAAAAAGCCTGAAGGTAATGATTATTATCACCAGAACAAATACAATAAGCTGTAGTTATTCTGGTGACTATAGTGTCCCTTTAATTATAATTATACATTCCCTTATTGTAAAGGGAGAGTCTGAATCTATAAAGCATTTGTTTACACTGTGTCCCAATGCACATTTAGAGACATAGAATGTGTAGGAAGTGTTACTATTTGTAAAAGCAGTATAATGCCTATTAAGTGACTGCAAAAGATTGCAATGCTTTTCCAAGAGATTTCAGTTTGGTTTACTGTAAGAGTGGAAAAGTAATGAAAGGTATGCTGTTTTCATATACATGCAAAATGTCATCCATACTGGACTACACCTGACCTTTTGGTATTAAAAGGGAAAAAAAGGACACAGTTTAAATAATTTGTTTTTAGAATTTATGATTACCTGTGCAAATAAATTGTGTGCTTCCAAATATAAATAATGCTGAATTTGCACACCAAATGCATGTTATGGTTTGTGATGAATGGGCTCAATATGCAGAGGAACTGTCACTTTAAGAGAGATTCTCTATAACTCCAAATGCGTCAAAACAAGTTTGGGAAATCCAGAGACAAGCAAAGGCAGCGTACATTCAGAATCCGGAAACAGGCTAAAGGCCAATAGAGAGATTAAACTGGTATAAAAGGCTTCTTGCACCTTGGAAGTTCACAATGAGCCTTGGATACACATGTTTTAAATAGGAGAATGGGAGGGATGAAATTCAGGGGGAGGAGTTTGGAGGCCTATATAAGTAGGAAGGTAGCCTCCCACCTATACCCCCTTTATGGGTTGTGCGCCATGCCAGACTATAAACTCGCATCGCTACTCTTTCCACAACTCCCCCAAGGTCTTCGACGTACAGAGAAGGATCCAGCTTGGCGGCACAGGCAGTGCTGTGTAGGACGCCGCCTGAGTATTTAATAATAATAGGTAATATTACTCTTCAGCGCTTTACGATATTTTAATGTATCGTAAAGCGCTGCGGAATTAGATGGTGCTATATAAATACCAATAATAATAATCAATAGCAGTGCTTTCATATAATCAATGTATTAGTCATCAGCATGCCATATAAATGACCATGTAGCTCACTATCGATTCAGTATATCTTTAACCGATGCACCAAAATAGATGTTTTGCTTACATTCAGTGGAGATAGCTGAACATTAGCATTAATAGATTAATATTTTTTATGGTCACATTCATATGGTGCGTTTTATTGAGTAGTATAGATTTTATTAACATTTGATATTAAATAAAAGTATTTCTTTGTCATGTTACATTTATTCACCTGTTTTGGAGTGATAGATCTCCATTTACTTTATTATGGATTGTTAAGTTTTTTGATGAATTATGACCACAGTCCTGTTTTCTTCCTGTATAGAAAATTCTGAAATGTTAATGCTAGTTTTGGAGATGTTGGAGATGTTGGCTGTGGATCTAATCTGAAATACCCCCTCACCGTAACTGGTCTAAAAAGTAAAAAAACAAAAAACGTTTGTTCTAAGCATCATAACCTCTGCCCCAGACACGCCCAGACAGTATAAATTTGATCTTGATAATGTGGAAATGTAACTGCAACATTAGCAGTAGTGATTGGGCTAGTCTGGAAATCCTGAGCAGAGCAGTTATTGGCTAAAAGTGTCCGCTGATTGCTTATAGCTTATCACAGCCACCACTGCTGGTATAAATTGGTATGGCTAAAAGAGAGTATGTGATCTCGGCCTTAGCCATACCTCAATCGGGCTGTTGGTAAGCAGGGACCCTAATTAAATGTTAAACTGCTTAAAAAAAAAAAAAAACTTCGAGGCTAAGGTGTTTGTCCATGCCACTTTCTTCTCATGTCTTGACTACAGCAATCCACTTCTCAGTGGTCTTACGTCCCGGCAACTTGCACTGTTAAAATATGTAATGAATACGGCAGTGAGGCTCATCTTACTGCCCGCCTGCACTTCTAATGCCTTACCCCTCTGTCAGTTTCTGCATTGGCTTCCCATAAGATACAGGGTTCAATTTCAAATTCTGGTTCTTGCTTTCAAATCTCTACATATTGCTGCTCCCACCTATCTATCCTCCCTAATACAGAAGTATGTCCCATCTAGGCCCTTGCGCTCTGCTGGATACCTACATCTATCCTCTGTTCGTACTTCCCCCTGTAATGCTCGCCTTCAAGACTTCTCTAGGGCTGCACTGTTCCTGTGGAACTCCCTTCCCTTCTCCGTTAGACACTCACCCAGTCTCCACTCCTTCCAAAAATCATTAACTCACTTTTTCATAATAGTGTATCAATTAAACTGTTAATAGCTCCCGATCGATTCCACTAATTAAAAAAAAAAAAAAGAAAACTAAGACTTCAGTGAATACTATTCTACTAATTTACTTCTCTTACCTTTTTGTGTCACTTTACCCCACTCCCTCTAGCATGTAATCTCATTGAGTAGGGCCCTAAACCCCTCTGTTCCTGTGCGTCCAAATTGTCTGGTTACAATTACTTGTTTGTTAGTCCACCCATTGCTGCAGAATTTGTTAGCGCTATTTAAATAGTAATGATGATAATAATGGAGGATCGTCAATAGGGTACTTCAAGCACTATAATCAATTTTATGAAAGATATGATTATAGTGCTTAAAGCAGGGGTAGTCAACCTGGTCCCTACCACCCACTAGTGGGCAGTTTGGGATTTCAGGTGGGCGGATGTGGGTTCGATGGCTGTGGACCAAGACCAGCAGGGGAGATCCTTTCATCTCCGCTGCCAGCCCATGCAGAGCCAGCCTTGCTGTAAGCCCTGTCGCCAAAGATTTCTCTCACCAGCCGGCTGGCACTTAGTACCAGCAAAGGGAGATAAGGGCCTGGAAGGCTCTGTATTCCTCCTGTGAGCAGGCTGGCCGGAGCATTGCTGCGTGTTACCTTGGCAAGGAGGAGAATCAGCCTGCAGCGGGAGGAGCAGCAGGCTAAAGTGAGCATGCCACCACTGGGCCACCAGGGTTTGTCACCCCTGGTCACCCAGCATTATGTCACCCCTCCCTGGTGAAAGGTAAGAAGAAGGGAGGGGGAGACATTAAGGTTGATTTTCCCATCTCGCCCACCTAGCATAGACCCTATGGACCCTTTACACACAAACACACACTACATCCCTCACACACACAGACTGCCCCCTTCACACACAGCACCTCTCACACACACAGCACCCCTCACACACACTTCACCACTCACCCACATACAGTACCCTTCACACACACTACACCCTTCACACACATACAGCACCCTTTACACACATAGTGTTTAGGAAAAAAAGGAAACAAATTTATAAATGTAAGTACTTTTTTTTTTTAATTAGTTACTGGTGGACAGTAAGGAAATTTTACCATCAACAACTATACAAAAGTGGGCAGTAGGTATTAAAAGGTTGACTACCCCTGGCTTAGAGTGTCCCTATAACTCCTGTATGGCAGATAATTGAGCAGTGACACTGGAAGGGCATAATCTATATCATCAAACCCACTTCATTAAAGTGTTACTAACCCCTTTCCAGTGTATGTTTTTATTATTTTATAATGCCCTGTTGCACACTACATATTAACTTTATCCCACCTTATTTTTTCATTATTATTTTATTATTTTTTTTTTTTTTTTTATTACATAAGATAAAACATACCTGGAATTTCAGCACTGGGCAAGGTTCTCCTAACCTGTTTTCAGTCTTCAGTACCAGTACAAATAGTCATTTTTGGTTATTATCGTTCTATAAATAAACAACATACATATAATAGTGTAATTTACTTAGTGTTGACCTCCTTTCACATCGGACCAGTGACATATTAATAGAGGTGTAACAGTTATTGTTAGAACTATAGATCGTGTAGGTTCTAAAGTAGAAGGCAGCTTTCTTTTGCATATATTTTTTAGTCCCCTGTGCTGTTCTACAATGGTAAGTTAGTCGTGCTCCACTGGGCCACGTCTCCTCATTGAATGTATTGGGGAGCATGCCTTCCAAACTAAGCCTCTCTGTGGTTGTAATTAGGTGTAACAATTGTAGTGGCTAGGGTGCTCAAGGGTATTCTCTAGTGCGAAGTTGTGTGTTCCTATTTCACTGTGAATTTTTTTGTTGTCTCTTCCTTGTGTTTTGTTGTAGCTTAACTAAATACTTTTCAATTGTCAGTAAATATTCAAACTACGTACATAGTGATAAGGAGAGAGAAAACGCTTTTCTCAGGCTTGGTGAATACTTATGAAGGTATGGTTACATGAAAAGATCAGTGCCAGTCAGGAGACTTGTTAAAAAAAAAATTCTTCTGTTAGATAGGAGAGGAGGCCTCAAGGATTGGGTACGTCAGTCAAATGTCTGGTGAGTGTGTTTCATTGTAGCCAAGTCATATGAATTCCTTGGTGTGTTCGAGAATTAAGTACTAAGTGTTTGTTGAGCACCTTCTAAATTACCATCCCACTTGGCTTGGACCACTTTACACACTCTGGCAATCGATGTATTAGCTGTGATGAGTATATGAAAGAGTAGTATTACATTTGATGTATTAAATTCCTCGAGCATCATGAATAGCAGGCCTAGTTCAGGCTTAAAGGAACACTATAGGGTCAGGAACACAAACATGTATTCCTGACCCAACCGTGTTAAAACCGCCATTCCGGTGGCTTGTTCCCCCTTAGAAGGGGTTAAAACTCACCTTATTTCCAGGGCCGTGCGGGTTTGCCAGCACTGGCCCCACCTCCGATCCCCCTCCTTGGTGACATCATCATAATTTACAATATTTATCCAATCCAAAGCATTGGAGATAAGTGTGTGAATAGTGTGTTAAGTATAATGTATACTCATCTAATAGTAAAATTCCACTGATCACCTCCCGGATGGTGATCTTACATCAAATAGGAATAGAAACAACAAAACATCGGAAATGGGTGTATAATCTTAAAGAGAACACAAAATATAGTGTATTACAATTATAAATTATATATGTGCGCTGGTAATCTTTTGCACTCACAAGATTGAAGATATCCAGAGGATGGTGGTAAAAAAAAATATACGGCTTTATTTATAAAAGGTGAAAATACACCAATAAAGTAAAAACAGAACTGTTTCTACACGTTTCATCCAAGTACAATTGGACTTCCCCAGGAACCAAAAATCAATATGTGTAACAGCAGCATGCAACAATGACATACAGCAATAAAACAGCCCAATAGGTCTTGCTCTGCTTTTTCATCCAGGGCATCTGAGTTATCTGCCGCATTATCTTTATTATCACAGCAGCAATCTGCCAACACACATTGTAGCCACCCACCCACACTCTGTAAGTTACCGTACCGTGTCTGGTGGTTTTGTTGTCATCAGAGAGCGACTTGCTGATTATGGAAAGTCAGGATAATTGCTGCAAGTATCCCAGTCCAGTTCAGGGTAGTGATGTATCTTAACGCCTGAGATTGAAAAAAAAAAAATTGGTTTTATTTTTTTTATGCCATTACATAAGAGTCGTCTACAATATATACAGGGTAAGCAGATCTGGGATCAGGCTGTGCTTTGTGATACTCAAAGTATACCACTTTCAATCCTGTGTCCTCTATATAATAAGTAGAGGTAAAGGCAGTGTTATTGGATACCGCAGTCAAGAAGGGGGATTGTACTGTAGGTATTACATCTGGAGCGGGTACGGGTATCCATTTGACTGTAGCAAACAAACAAAAGAATGGGGCTGCGCAAATAGACAAAGTAAATAAATAAATAAGTCCTAGTTAGGGTAGTGGTAGTTGAAACAGAGTCCAATAAAGTGGAACTTGGGTCCTAGGCTGGTCTATGGTCTCTTGTAAGGTTCCGCTCCTCGCAGTATTCAAATATATAGGAGAGGGCGGTGAGTGATGAGAAGGATGATGGTGCGGGATGTTCCGAGAGGTGTCAAATATAGAGGAAGAGTTCTTACTTACATTTAGTAGAGCTTAATCCAGCTCTGGTGTGGATAGCTTGCAAGACAACTCAGTGTCCTTTGCCAACACCCTCTCGACATTAGGCATCTCATAAGCATTTTCGGACCGATTAGCTACCATGAGGTGGGTTTTTTTTGTAACCAACTATGCCAGGGCAATAGACAGGTGCTTGTAGGATATGTGGTGAGTCTCCTTTCCGGTGCAGTGACAGTGTCACGATTCAGGGAACCCAACACGCTGGCACACACACACACACACACACACAAAAGGTGCCGTACCGGACCTTAGAGTGGCCGGGCTAAGCACACACAGAATAGTCCGGAAACAAGCCGAGTAAGGGGAACCAGAAGACAGAATAACGTGAAACGAGCCGAGGTCAAAGGGTAGGAGAAAGTCACAAAGTCGGATAAACAAGCCAGAGAGTACGTAACCAGAAACACAAGGAAAGTAGCAATACTAGCAAGCAAAGACCACAACAGGGCAGGGAGGTACAGGAAAGGTAAGTATTTAAACCATCAGGTTAACTCTGGATAATTTCCAATCAGAATTAACAATCACACGTGGGAGATATCTAGACCTCCCACTGTGATTGAGGCACTGTACCTTTAACGCCGGGTCAGGTGACTGACCCCGGCGTGTACAAACTTGGGCGGTCTCCCAGCGTGCAGTGTCATGTATGCTGCCGCTGGGGGACGTGGAGGGAACGGCGGGCAGCATCCGAGGCTGGAAGGATGCCGCTCGCCGGACCCAGGAGGAGGAGGGGACCGCGGACGGCTGGAGGATGAGTACCACGAGCGGAGTGCAGCCTCCCCTCGCAGCTGCCCGCGGGATCCCGACATTACCCCTCCCTCGAAGACCGCCCAGAGGGCGGGAAGCAGAAGGCTTCAAAGGAAACCGGCATGAAAGGAGCGGACCAAAGAGGGAGCGTGCACATCAGAGCTCAAAACCCAGGACCGCTCCTCAGGGCCGTACCCCTTCCAATCCACCAAATATTGCAGCCGGCCCCTAGAAACACGAGAGTCGAGAAGAGCGGCCACCTCGTATACGTCGTCAGAGACAGCGCGAGGGGAAACGGGCCGCCCGAGGGGACGAGAGAACCGCAAGGGCTTCAAAAGCGAGACGTGAAACGTGTTCGGGACACGCATGGAAGGAGGCAGATCAAGGGAGTAGGAAACGGGGTTAACCCTACGTAACACCTTGTAGGGACCAAGAAACCTGGGGGCAAATTTCATCGAGGGAACCTTGAGACGGAGGTTCCTGGAGGACAACCATACCCTATCACCCGGAACATAAGAAGGGGCCGCAACCCTACGGCGATCAGCAAACTTTTTCTGAGCAGCTGCTGAACGAGACAGCGCAACATGGACCTGATCCCATGTCTTCCGCACAGAGGCGAGGTGCTGGTCCAAGGCGGGCATTCCCTTGTCGGAGAACGCACCAGGAAGGACAGAAGGACGAAACCCATAAGCAACCTCAAAAGGACTTAACCCAGTAGACGAATGAGACACTGTATTCCTTGCAAATTCAGCCCACGGAAGAAGGCGAGACCAGTCATCCTGGTGCGCATTAGTGAAGCAGTGCAAATACAATTCCACAGACTGATTATCACGTTCGGCCGCACCATTAGATTGCGGGTGATAGGAGGAAGAGAACGACAAGGAGACCCCCATCTCAGCACAAAAGCCCCTCCAAAACCGAGTGACAAATTGAGGGCCCCTGTCAGAAACGATATCCTGAGGTACCCCATGCAATCGGAACACTTCTTTGGCAAACACCTGAGCTAACTGAACCGCAGAAGGCAGTTTCTTAAGCGGAATAAAGTGCGCCATTTTAGAGAAGCTATCCGTCAGTATCACCGTCTGACCATCCGAAAGAGGCAGGTCTACAATGAAATCCATGGATAAGTGGGTCCATGGTTTCTTGGGTATAGATAGAGGCATCAGAAAACCCTGGGGTCTCACATTAAGGGACTTACACTGCGTGCAGACCCGACAAGCCTGAACAAAATCCACTACGTCTCGCTTGAGTGAAGGCCACCAGAACTGTTGAAGGAGGCCCTTGTAGGTTTTGGTAACCCCCGGATGACCAGCAGTTTTGGCTGTGTGAAATAAAGTTAACAACTTTTTTCTGTCATTAGTTTCGACGTATAGTTTACCAACCGGCGTCTCAGGGGGTGCCCGGGTTTGGTATGTCTTAATGCTATCAAAGAAAGGTGAAGAGACAACCAAACGGGTAGCAGCTATTATCTGAGACGCAGGTACAATAGGTTCAGGAGTCGGGTTAACAAATTCTACTGGTTCATGCTGCCGAGAGATAGCGTCAGCTTTGGCATTACGGCAACCAGGTCTATAGGTAATAACATATTGGAAGCGTGAGAGAAATAGAGACCATCTAGCCTGCCGGGCAGATAACCTTCT